AGAATCTGAGAAACAGAAAGATATACCGACATCGGACATATTGTCAAACAGAACGGCCCAGTGAGCCGTAAGGCGGAAATAGAAAAGGATGACAAGCGGGGGTTGCGACCAACAGGTGTAGCTCGGTTGGTACACCCAACAAACTGTTGAAATACAGACCCGAGTTTTGAGTCCAGATGCAATCAGATGACCAGAATAAGATCGGTTTGAATTACCTGGGAGCGGTCAGTTCAATGATGATATCCCAAGGCCATCACCCTTAAAAGAAGAAAAAGGGGAAAAAAAGTGACATGCGAAACATTGTTTCGACTCTCCGAGCAACTTCTTCTTTTTTTTTGGGGGGGGGAAGGGGGGGGGGGGGGGGGGGCCCCGGGGGGGGCTTGCAATTTGATCAACTTTAGGCAGAGACACTTCTTCAAAATCGAGTTTTTGAATTTATACAAAACGAGCTCGGTCTCATTTTGCTTTTTTGTGTGCAACACCGAGTTCTTTGCACACGTGCAGAACATATGTGAGGTCGAAGGTATGATAAAAAGGAATGTACACACATACAATAGTCAGTAAACAGGGCACGACTCCGAAGCCAGATGAATTAACATGAATGCATTAGTTATGGGGTGCCCCCTTTCCCAAGACTAGTAAAAAGGAAGGCACAGATTGCCAAACATACAGCAACTTGCCTGTGAGTATGCAGGGGAGGGAGGGGGGGGGATTGCAATTTGATAAACTTTAGGCAGAGACACTTCTTCACAATCAAAATTTTTGAATTTATAAAAAACGAGCTCGGTCTCACTTTCCTTTTTTGTGTGCAACACCAAGTTCTTTGCACACGTGCAGAGCATATGTGAGGTCGAAAGTATGATACCCCGCTCATGTGCCTGAATGGTACACACATAATAGTCGATAAGCAGGGCACGACTCCGAAGCCAGATGAAACAACATGAATGCATTAGTTATGGGGTCCCCCCTTTCCCAAGACTAATAAAAAGGAAGGCACAGATTGCCAAACATACAGCGACTTGCCTGTGAGTATGCATAGCTGTTCGCTTTCGTCATAGCGAGCCCAAAATCGGAGACTTTGATATGCCAATCTGCATCAACCAAGAGGTTGACACTCTTCAAATCCCTATGCACAATTGGTGGGCTGCAGAACGCACGTTCAGACAAGTACAGACCAGCAACAGCAAGTCAGTTGCCGATGCTTCGTGCAAGCTTCCCTCTCCCATTCACTGTCCATAGTTCTCAACAACAAAAGCAGGCTAGGCGATCTGGTCCCAACTCCTAGCAGACCAGGTAAGAATGAGCACATAAGAACCCCATTCATTTCAACCACACCCATCGTACGGATGTGCACTTCCTGTGTAGGCTGAAACAAGGCGGTTGAAGTTCCCTCCAGTATTTTCCCGTCTTAACCTTCAATTATCCAGTTGCAGATGCTGGTTCCGTGGCTATGTAAGCGGCCCGGCAGTTGGCCAAGGAGAGCCGGCGGCAGGGAATGCAGTTGGTAAAGGCGAGCCAGTGGCTGCCACATCCTGCCTGTCTTCCCAGATCTGAACGCCTCCCCCTACAACTTCCAGCACACGACAACTATGGCGAGCTTCTGCTTTTCGAAAGGCAACGGCTCCAGTCTCAATCCAACCAGAAAGCTTAAGATCCGGCCTGCATTCCCAGCCATCAGACTGCCCAAAAGAAGACAGCATATGTGATAACAGAGAGCCCGTGCTCTTTCTCAAGACCTCCTCTAGCCTGAGGGCACAGGATTTGAATGGCTTCTCCCACTATGCAAAACTGAGAGACCAGTCATACAATGCTTCGCACTCTAGCCTGAGGCCACACGATGCTTCACACTTGAGAGGATATGGAGGGGGAGAGTCGAGAGTGGCCACAAAGCAGGAAAGGCGTTGCAAGATGCTTTGCACACATGCAAGTCTGGCTAGAATGACCATATTGCCTGCCCGGATGGCATGTTGCCCCTTCTTGACACACCACCTGGCTCCCACTTAGACACTTCTCCCGCTTTCCATACATGCACAGCATACTGTGAGCCATAATCTCCTGAATGCTCGCCACTGTGAGACCCAGGCAGGAGAAACGTAGGGGGAAGTACTGAGGACAGACTAAATGGTGGTAGTGGTAGGGTGCCTGTGTACTGGGGGGAGGCAGGGGGGAGGCAGGGGGGAGGGGAAAGGGAGGGTGGCAGCACAAGAAAGAGGGGAAAGGAGGGAGAGAGAGTGAGACAGAGCAACCAAGTAGACCGTGTGATTGGGAAAGGGGGGACCCCATAAAATAGACCGTGTGATTGACAACATGGGTGAGGACGCCGTCCGGCTGGGCCTGCCCGGCCGGGCTGGGCCCAACATGCATTAGTCGATTGGAAATGATTGGAAATGTTGAAAATCCTGAGTGAGGACGCCGTGCTGCCGGGCCTGCCTGGCCGGGCTGGGCCGGGCCTGCCTGGGCCCGGCCGGTTGGGCCCGGGGGGCCCGCCCGGGCAAACCAGTTGGGCCAAAAAACTGCCCAGAATTTTATTTTTTTTTCTTTGAAACCAGGGTCGTTTTGCGCTCAGCGAGAGACACTGAATCTGCAATAAAATTTTGGTTTTTTTTTTTTTGGGGGGGGGGGGGGGG